CACGTCGCTGCTTCTCCTTCCATTCCCTCGCCCTTGCATCCGTGTATCGCTCTCGAGCCGAAGACAACGTGTGCATTAGATGGGCCGGATCTGAAGAAGGCCCATTCCTCGAGGATCACATGTGTATCCACATCACCAAGGCTGGGGTTCATACAGGGTGGGTTCGGACCAACCGAGATTGGATGGACTTGTACCAGACCACGTTATGGTGGGTTAGGTCGCGGCCAATTTGAAATAGCTTCGGGTCAAGCTGACTTCGAGTCGAATCAATTGCGGGTTGAGCTTAATCGGTCGTGACAATGCTCGGATCGAGTTTATGCTACCAGACAAACCAACCGCTCCAGTCACGGCTTTGGCAGTAGCGTTCGCTCGGCGACCGAGCCCACCTCCTGCGGAGGCGTGACCACTGTCACTGAGAGCCAATCCAGACCGAAGCAGTGTCGGGTTCCCGTCTCCCTTCCTTCCCCGGAGTCCTCATCTCAGTTGGTTTCTTCTTCCTCCGTTCTAGGGTTTCCCTACGTCGTCTCTTGCTTCCCCTTCTCTTCTCCTTCCGAACCGTTCTCGATCAAAGAAGACAGAACACAGTCTCTCGGCCTCCGATGGCGTACGTCGACCACGCCTTCTCCATCTCCGACGAGGACATCATGATGGGCGACTCCAGCCACGCCATCCAGAACCGTCCGCCCGTTAAGGAGATCGCCTTCGCGGTGTCCCTCCTCGTCTTCGGCTCCCTCGCAATCGTCGTCGGTTCCGTCATGGCCGCCAACCGCGTCGGCGGCGATCGAGCCCATGGTAACTAGTTTCTCTCTCGGATTTTCGTGAACGACTATTTAGGCTTTCTTTTCCCCCTTGTATCAATTTAATATTTCGGTGGTTTTGAATGGATTAGGGGTTTTCTTTGCGGTCTTGGGGTCGGTGTTGTTCCTGCCGGGTTTCTACTACACGAGGATAGCTTATTATGCATATAAGGGGTACAAAGGCTTCTCCTTTGACAATATTCCCTCGGTCTGAGGGCGGTTTCAAATTTTCCATGATGCGTTGTTAGGCTTTCCAGTGCCTCTGCTGTATAGATTTGTTTGGTGAGACTTCTCCTAGGGTTTTTTTTTTTTTTTTTTTTTTTTTTATGTCTTGATCCTTTTGTTCTTCTTGAACAGCTTGCTATGTATACATGCTATTCAGTTATGATGGTCGTGTTATTGAAATACCGTGTAGCTTGTTAGGTTTTTGAGTTGGTCAGACTATTACTGGATTGATAAAACTGGATCAAACTTTTTGAGGATTTTGTTGAGAAGTAGAAATAAAAGGGTGATCGTTCTTCTTTGAGCGTGAAATCAACTATAAACTATACAGTACAAATATGCGTCACAAACTGTTGTTAGATCTGACTTGGATTTTGTTCAATCATTCTATAAGATATCTTTCTTTATTCGTGATTTGTCTTTTGAGAACCCTTCTCAACTGATCTTGCAATCTACAATTGACTTGATATTTTATTGTCAATTAATTTGCATCATTTGAATGTTCTTAGAAACAAAATATATGATAAGCCCACCCGGTGACTGAATATATATGTTTCTGAAAGAAGCCCCAACTCGAGAAACCACAGTAGATCCTTGGCAGGGAAAAAATCTTGACGAAGAACTCAGCGTATTTTTAACGAATATATCTTGCTGAATTTCAAGTTCCTGACAAGTATCTGCAATATAAAATGAAAGTTATCAGGTTGCATGAGACTCCATATTCTTGAGCATCATTAGTGCATACTCGATATGCCTATAATTATTGTACTGCACAAACCTAATCTCTTCTTGTTACAAGTGGCATTTGTTGGAGGGAGCAAAACATTTCTTGATACTTTTTTCTGTGCCACACATTGTTTCGATGCTTCAAGTTCAATCTTATGTTCTAGTAATGCACTCAATTATTCTGGTGGTTTCACTGTTAGCAGATTGTTGATTAATCACTTTGATTCATTATTCTCTCAGCTGCCCTACTCAATGCTCTTGTTTTGTTCTTCTCATGGATCCCTTGATTTCGTAAAAATGTACATGTAACCAATTTGTTATTCAGAGTTCTAAAACATTCAATGCAACAAATGAATCTTCAAGTTCAGAGTTCATTAAAACCCTACATGTATTTGTTCCTTTCAGTTAGGTTGTTTACACAAGACTTCTGTGTTTGGTTGGATCTAAAGTTTTCTTTGGTGAAGTTGCTGACGAAAGAAGATGCCACGTACAAAATTTTAGGAATATATTGTAATTTCAACTGATGATTCTCCAACAAAATGACCCCAATTCGACCATTTCTTACACCTGCCACCATGCTAAGTTGTTTCTAGGCCACCTTATTGTTCACCAATATCTCTTTATAACTGTAATTCCAAAGAGATGTGTCTTCCATCCACACCAATCTAGATGATAACAAGGCACATGCACCCCATATAATTATAAGAAACTTTGGAGTATTGTTTCGAGGTATTCCAACCTCCACTGTCCTTTCAGAAGATATGATAATCGGCATATGTTACTGCACAACTGCATGTAATTCTTATTCAAGTATTGATTATATCTTTCCACAAATCAATGGGATTTGTCTCTGGGATCTTCACTTTGGAAATCCATGCATTTATTTTGACTATAGTAGTCAAGCCAATGAATGGTTTCCTGGTTCTATCTACCAGGAGGAGGCAACCATGATTTTGAGCTTGTTGTATTAGCTCCTAGATTAGACTGATAACTCCTCATATAGCAACATTTAGTATAGATTGAGAAAGATGCAAATCAGTTCTCTTTAGAAAATTATCAGGTGGTAAACTTTTGAGTGAACTTGAAGTTAGTGCTTGTGTCACTTTCTAGGAGTTAAGCTCTTCAGATTTCCGACCTGTACATAATTGAATTTTTTTCCTAGTAATTTTGTATTACCGTACCATTCATTAGCTATCCTTGCTCTGTATTTTTCTCAAAGTACTTCAATATTTGCTTTATACATTTGGCGATGTGCATAAAGTTTATCATGTGGTAGCTATTCTTGCTTTTAAATCAGAGGGGCATTGTGGTTCTTTAGAAAGGCTACATTGCTCATGGCAAGGATGCAAATTTAGATTGTTGTTCTCACATTTGAGTCAGTTTTGGTTCTGCTGATCCTGCAGGCTTGCTGATAAAAATTTGCATACTTTTTTCAATTCAAACCATAAACCTTATTTGATGACCACACCTTCATGGGCTTTTTCTCTTGTTTTACCACATCAAAATCATTATTTGTGTCTCATTGGTACTTGTTATGTTTAAATTGCCTGCAAAATCTCACAATTAAAATTTTGGATAATAAAGACTAGCAACAAGGAAGTGAAGTAGTTTCCAGTTTGCCAGAGCAATTTTTTTCAGCTAAACAATGCATGTACTTGCAACAAAATAGAAATGGAGGCTCTGGAAGAATCTTAAGATGTCAAATGCAGATACTCAAAGTTGGTTGTGCCTAAAAACCCTGTTGAACATTGCATACCGTCAAGTTTGTGGGTGGATCATAATGAAATGGTGAGAGACATCTTCTGGGATCATGCTTTTTCTTTCTTGTGATAATTATGGAAGGAGATTGCTTCAAAATTCCCAAGCTGTAATCTGTTCTTTCTTGCTGTGATAAATAGACACTGATACTTATTGCAATAATGTGTGCTTGGGGGAGGATTTGAGAATATCTTACCAGATACCATGATGACTAAAAACCATCCTTGGAGGTTATGTGAAGGCAATTCTTTTTAATCATCTTAATCTCTTCAGTGGTCACTGTGCCATTACCACAAACTACTATTTGAAGAGCATTCTTGCAGGTGAAAAGATTAGAAGCTCAAGTTCCTTTATATGACTTGGTCTGGTCCCTGATGATGTGGTTGTGGTTCCAAGCAACTCAAAAGAGGAAAACCACTGATGTGTTCTTTTGAAGAGCTTTGTATGTGTAGAACTTAAATATCATTTCGTTGGTTCGAGTCCATTGGATTTCAATGGGAGAAAAATAGAAGCAAAATTGTGGATGTTGGTATTTATTATATCTAACTGATTTGTCTCCATAATCTATTGGACACAAAGCAGCCGTACCAAGCAGACCTCCCCTCAGCAAGACGACAAGTCTTCCATTAACGTTAACAAAGAGCGGAGAAGCCAAGCCTACTGTACATGCCGAAGTCACGGAAGCTGAAGCGCTTCGGTCGACGCCACCAAAGAGCTAAACCAGAGAAGGTAAACAACTCCCGAGTGCTCCGAGGAGATCGCAGCGCTCGCAGGCCCGGACGGTGCCCCTAAGAAGCCAAGAACGGGAGAGAAATCGATGTCCATGAGCTCCATCGTTGTGGCTGCAGGTCCAAGGAAACAAAAACTGGCCGGCCACGGAGGCAAGGAGCAGGTGGCGGGCGAGCGGCTGGAGTACAAGAAGAGGGAGGGAAAGGCGGTTGACGAGGGTCGCCGCCCGCTTTCAGCGGCGTCGCAGACGTGGCGGCCAGGAGGAGCAAGATGAAAGCGGTGGTGGGGGCGTTCTATACCGTTCATCGCGTCGCAGAGCAGCGGAGGGAGCCCGTTGACCGACGTAAACCATGCCCATGTGGACGCCGCGTGCAGCAGCCACGTGCACTTATTCGCGGGTGTAGACGACGCCACTTTCTTTGCTAATAGGAATGGGACCCACTCGGATATCACTAAGATTTAAACTTATCCCAGTCCTTTATGTCCACAATAAGATGTATAATACTGTCTGTGCACACAGGCCTTTCTTTTCATTCTCTTTTCACTTTAATATCACCCACACAATGGAACCTTTCATCTTACAATATCTCATAGTGGCAGGCAAATCTAAATACGTAATGTGGGATTTAGCGGGAACACTTTAGCAGCGTGAGGAACTTAATTACGCCTACATACAGTGTATATGGTGGCTATGGTTAGAAAGGTGACGTTTGACCGCCATCGCACCCTATATAAGAGCTTCGCGTGGGTGACAATACCACCCTTTAAAGAAAGACGCGGGCGGAAAGAGCAGAGGAGGAGAGGAGGGTGCGTGGCGATCAGATCAGCGGAGGAGGAGAACCGGCCGGAGGGAGGTCCTGGGGCTGCGGCGGAAGGGAGGAGGAGCGAAGGTGATGGCTTGGTGGAACAAGAAGGTGGTGTTCCCGGTGAAGCGCGCCTGGGTGGCCGTCACCGCCCGGGTGAAGTCCCGGAAGCACGGTAAAAAGTGGTTTGATCCGTTGATCTTCCTATCGCTCTGTTCTTGGTTTACTGAACTCAGCTCTGGCCTTGTGATACTTCTCTCCCTCTGAGTGACAAATATGATTATATATTCAGATTGAATAGCAGATGGAAGCCACCATTTAGGATAGCTTGACATCTTTTGTTTCTCATTGTAAGAACAAAAAAGTCGGGGAGGAGATGGCAGAAGATTCTGCTGCATGCATGGGCAACTGCAAAGTGTGTGCAGGGTGGCCGTATCGGAGGGTGCATGAAGGTTCAGGCTGTGGGCAGGCCACTTTGTGCTCCTTTAGATTATGACCATGGCTTTTGGGCATCTCACGTACCCATGCTTTTAGATTGTGGACCACTCGACATTTGTGCGTGAGAGAGAGAGAGAGAGAGAGAGGAGAAGGAGGAGGTTTCCTTTTACCATTTTTCCTATGCGTGAATCCTTCTCATGCCTCAATTATCACCTGGATATGCTGTCCCCACTCGGACATGTCGTCTTTGACTGCTTTACGGTGCCTCGTGACCGTAAGCAGACAACGGAGTCGATGAACAGCATGCGTCTTAGCAAAGAAGAATACCTTCGTAGGGGTGTGAATCCATCAAACTCTGGTTGCGCCTGCAGGTGATGGAATCCTGAAGCTCCGCGACGACGTCCAAATGTGTGGCTACCAAGATGTGCAGGTGATGTGGGAGATGGTGAGGAGGTCGGAGACGGAGGTGTCGCAGGCCACCAAGCGACACAAGCGCCAGTTCTGGAGGCCATCGGCCTGCTCTTCACAAACATCCGCTTGTGATGATCCGACGGAGCCTTCTCATCACCACTGAAGACACACATGTCTATTTATCGTCGGCTCTCCCTATCTTGTGGTTCTAATGTACATTATATTGCCTTCAAGAACCTCTTCCTCGGTTGACGGTGGTGGATCATCTTATGCTCTGTTTTGGATTTGTCACAGCCATTATTGCTTCTCGATGCAATCACTTGAAACAACTCGATCGGCCCAATCTTTTTTGCTCGCTCCATCGTCGGAGCTCTTTCGAGCCAACATTGGGCTCGAGTTGCCTTCGAAATGGCCCATACATCCAAACCTTAGTTCGCATAGATATAGATTCGAACAGTAATATTTCCTCCCCATGGGATTGACGATCAAAATAATGTTAACAGTTCTTATCCATCCATGTTTCGATGCTAAGATCATTTGATGTTGATGGAATCTGTAAAGATGCATTCCGACCAGTCTACGTGCTTGTAGCTATTGATCAAATAATTCGGGTCACAAAGAAGCCATCAACTTCTACTGCTACTGCAGCAGCATCGTTCAGGAGATAAGGAACCAATCATACGTTCTCACAGGTGGCGGCTATAAGCTATCCATTCCGACTCGTTAACATCGGCAACTTGGCGAGAGGGAGAACGAAGCCATCGACATGGCGATGTTGATGTATTGATACCGACAAACGAAACGGGGACAAAGGAAGCATCAGATAAATCCTTTGCGTCCGGCAAGCTGAGATGAAGACGATGATGCTGTATCCACTGGCTACGTGTCCTTCATGGAGCACGAGCACTTTTGGTGGTGGACAACAACAACTGCTCGCCACAGTTTCGAGTGTCCGTGATTTTATTTGGGAAGAAGATGAGTCTGAGGCCACCAACAGAGAGCAACTCTGGAGGAGGATAAAGAAAGGGACGGTAGAAGACGGTGCATGCCTTCCAACCACAGACACCAACCTATGGGCACCACAAACATGATTAGTGCACGTCTTCTAGCCACCGTAAGGCAGTGTATTATTATTCTACTTGAGCAATGCCTAAAAGAAAGGTATGATCGAAGCTAATGGTTTCTTCAAGTTCATAGTCGCTTCACGAGAACAGAGTCGTGAAGGGTCTGCAAGCCAACATGCACTATTCCATCTTCTCCGGCACTTAATTCTGCCACGAAACCATGTGAGGTTGTGCGTGCAGCACGTCATGTCTCACACACACGCATATTTCCAAGGAAAAGGAAAACAAGAAAAAAGGGTTTTTGGAACGGGGAATAACCAGAGTAAATGTTAGGTCTTTTGGATTCGGTGAATCGAGGGAGGCAAAGGAGGTGAAGGATTCGGCTTGATCGACGGGGAACCGCTGCATGTCCCTTTATTTTGGGAACATGGGTCGGACCACGTCGATAGGATCAGCGGAGGAGGAGATGCAGCAGTTCCTCATCAACGGCCAATCGGCATCGGGTCACCGTCCGATCCGGTCTTCGCGCGCCATGGGTCGGACCCCGACGGCCGAGATCCGGTCTCGATGCCGAACCGGGAGGCGTTCGGCCGGCTCTTTGACCACTGTTCCTTTCTGGTGCGCATCGGCTGGTTTGTCTTTTGGGTATTAAAGCTTCGCTCCCCGCCGTGTCTCAACTCGATGCCGAACGATTTCTTCGGTCGCCGAGGAAAACACGAGGTTCTCTTTCTCTTCTTCCCTCTTTCGGTTCTCAAATTTGTAAACGATCAAGTTCTTGCGATAAAACTACGATCTTGTCCTCCCAACTAGAGAAAGAATTGATCTTGAAGCATAAGAAGTCGTCTGTTTTTTGGGGTTTTGAGCGTCTTCTCGGCCAAGAAGGGCGGATCGTTGTTGCTTCTTGTGTTTTCATGGATTGGCGTGTGCTCATGCAAGCTTTTATTTGCTTTAATCTCCTTTATACCCAGGAGTTTTGCCTTCTGTGATAATGACCTGGTTCTTGGTTATCGGTGTATCTACCTGATATCTGTATCTTGATTCTTGGATATCTTTTAGTTGCCGTAGCAATTTCTTCTTGCGTTTGTTGCTGCTTTTGGTGAATCTTGAATCTTCTGTTCTGCGCTTGTTGGTCGTGATGAATTTGGATTAGATGGAAGATGAAGATGCTCCTTTTCGTGTCGAAGAAGAACAGAACGATTCCTTTGAACACCAAGATAGAAAGATCTATCCACGATGGCCTTTGGGTTCTAATTCTGCTCTAATGTTACCATCATCGTTTTTCTTTTTTTTTGATGTCCTGTTTGATGTCTTTTACTAAAAGAATTGATTTGATGGTTGAATTTGAATCCTCGGAGCTGTGTTATGCTACATGCTGATCTGTATTTCCATCCATGTCCTTACCTGCTATATCTGGTTTGCTTATGGCCTTAAAACAACCATAGTGCATGCATTCTTTTCTCCCAATCAGTGTTTATTGGGGAATATGATTTCTCTGGATTTTTGTTTATTATTAGCTCTACATATCAGAAATTTAATCTTTATTTATAGTCTTTTCATCGATTTCAGAAATTTTTTGAAGGTTTCTCCTTCCATTTGGGCTCTGGAAGTCGTAAAGCAGGGCCCTATCTTGCCTAACTTTGCTATGGCATTGGTTATTAGTGAGTTGTTGATAGGCTGATATCTTGGTTACTTGGATTCCGTTGATCTTTTTTGAGTTAAAAGTTATTCTTTAGGTGACTACACTTGGTAAGAAAGGCTACAGCCATGATGACAATATGTTTCTAGGGGTAGTTTTTGTTCTTTCTGCCTAGAAATTTTTCACTCCTATGTCATGCTGAGAATTTAATTTGTTACTCTTTATACAGCAAATCTGTGATGCTGATGGATTAAAGTCACTTTTTTTTTTTTCGTTTCCTACAGGTGTTTTCGCTGTGGCATGGATGGTTCCAAGGGTAGAAGGACCGCTACCGGAATAAGTTTTTCCAGAGGTGGTTGCATTATTACTCTTAGAGAACAAAACTACCATGATAGAAGTATCCGATGCTGTAGCCGGTTGGGATGTAGTGCTAGTCTCTATGCCATGAAAGGCACCCAGGTAGGAAAACAGGACAGAGCTTCCTTCCACTCAGGACCGTGTCAATCGTTATCTGCTAATGGTTTTAGAAAGCCTCAACGAGGACAAAGATCCAGTTGTTCTCGTGAAGAAGCAAATGTTGCAGAAAGCCGTAATACCCGAAGAGATAGTGATAAACCCAAAAGTGGTAGAAGATTCACAGGTATAAAAGATTCAGACTCCAACCGAAGTGTAGAGAATAAAAAAGACTTGCACTCTGTCCCTTTAAGTCCATTAGTTGGATCTGCAAAGCTTCGCTGCTCATCAGATAGTGCAACTGGAGGAGTGGGGTCCAGCAGGATGAAATTGAGAGCAATAACATCTAAGGAAGCCGCTAGACAGCCTAGATATCGTTATATAGAAAATTCGAGTGCATCTGGTTGCACCAGCATGAGTCATGGGGATGCTTCACATGATATGGCATCCAGGTCAGAGGTCTTTGGTGTGGAAAATCCTAGAGGAACAGACATATCCAATGTTCTTGCACCAGAGTGTAGCTCTGCTGATTCCAGAAGTAGCAGAGCAGATAATAATTTAAGAATGAGATCCCTCAAAAGGGGAAGTTCATCTTTCAGAGGCAGAGGCCGAATCCCATCCTCAAATGGATCAAATCCAGGTACTTCAGACCTGAGTGTATCTCTTCCGGAGCATTTAATATCTTATCAAGCTACAAGAGGATCCAGAAACCAATCTACCAATAAGGTTGTTGTCTCAGTCAGAACAAGGCAGCCACCTAGGGGTGATACTAGAATAAGACCAGTAGGACAAGTAGCTGAGTCCATTTTGGCACCAATGCCTCTAACTGTTACCCAACAGTCACAATGTGAATCAGGAGCTATTCCTCAAAGTTCATCGAGATCATCTGCAGATTTTCATCATTTTTACCAGAATATACATGGAGATCCTGGAACCAGCCCTCAGATTGCTCCTAGGAGACAAATTCATGAATCTGCAGCCAATCGCCTGCATATATTTGATGCTCTTTTACAAGATAGAGATGGCTATCCACACTTAAACATGGAAGGAGTTGCTGAGGTATTACTGACTTCTATATCGTAATGCTTCTCCTTTATAAACTTAGTCTACATAATTTATACATTGAACACTGGGTGCGTACAGTTGCAATGCAAGCAATGAGTGGAACAAGCAAAATCCTTTTGGGCATTATGATGTTTAAATGCAGCTGTTTCTATTCATCTCATCTTCTTAATTTATTTTGGATCACAAAATATTTTATTTGAGGATGTACTTAGTTTCTTCTGTTTTCTTTTTATGGTTTTTTGAAAATGCCTGGTGTAGAATTACCTCTAATAATTTGAAAGTTACTCAGATGTCTTTTGACATGCAGGTGTTATTGGCACTTGAGAGGATTGAACAAGATGAAGGGTTAACACACGAGGTTGTTATCAGCGTTCAGCTCCACAGATAGCATGTTTTTAATTATAAGAGCTATGTTATAAATCCAAAAAAGCATGAAAAATCAAATTGGACTTTCTGGCGAAGTATTTATTTTATTCTTATTATATTATGCCATTAACAGCAGTGACATTATCCTTGCAGCAATTATTGGCCCTTGGCAATCATTTATCTTTGGATAGCCGAAGTTTCCATGACCAGTACAGAGACATGAGAATGGACATAGATAATATGTCATATGAGGTTTGTTCTACCTTTGAGCCATGTGTAGTATCATGAAACTTGCTGATGAATATTTTCTTGAGTTCTCATCGACGGAAGAGAAATTTTTTGAACTTTCATCCGTAAGTCCTAAATATGTTTAATGTTGGGTGTTCACGATTCAAATTACAGTGGTTTGGTGATTCCTTTGGGAATAACTATTATGAGAATGCCATTCATTCTTCTGTTGTATCTGCATTTCTTTGCTAGTACCAAAGTGATTCAAATGAAAAAGTTGCTCGAACAAAGTGTGATCCACTAGTTCTTTACATTGCACCGATAGTACTCTCGTATCTGCAATCAACAACCAGATGGTTTATTGCACTACATTAATTCAAATGTAGCTGTTTAAGGTCAAGCAGTTCCATATTTTTAGTGTCAGCTCATCTGTGATAAAAAATAGAGCAGTTAGTGGCCCAGAAATATCATTGCTTTCCATTCTTATTAGTCTCCATTTTTCTGGGAATTTTTGAGGTATCAGAGCTTGTTATGAATTTGCAGCCAAGCATATCTAGTAACTCTACTTCCTTGAGCAGGACTTGTTAGCCCTGGAAGAGAAGATGGGTACTGTGAGCACAGCTCTCACAGAGGAAGCTTTATCAAGGTGCTTGAAGAGAAGTCCCTACATGTCTGCCTCTTTGATCTCTGGGATCTCTGGACGTGACGAGGATGAAGTCAAATGCAGCATATGCCAGGTACAGTCAGTCATCTTGGCCAGACTTTCAAGATAGTTCATATCGAATTTTATTTGCACCATCAAAATCGTTTTTTGCCGCGGAATGCACAATCGCTTGCTCTTGAGCTTTTCGTTTCTCGTCGTAGACAAGACACTTGTTTTTCTACAGTCCGGTAATACCATAACAAGAATAAACTGTAGAGTTCTAATTATTAGATCCATAATTTTACTCGAGAGTTACAAGTATTTAAATTTTTATTTATAATTTTTAAGTAAGATATTTCTTTATCTCTTCTCGTACTATTGATACTAAATGGATTTTTGTGGCTCTCCAATACGTTATATCCATCTCAGCCACAGCAATCAATCAAACTGAAATCCTACGTTTTCCCAGGAGGAATTTGTCATGGAAGACGAGGTGGGGGAGTTGGTGTGCAAGCATACGTACCATGCAGCATGCATCCGCCGATGGCTTCAGCTAAAGAACTGGTGCCCTATCTGCAAAGCCTCCCTCTTGTAATAAAGCCTGCCCTCAAGAAAAGATGTGGTATTTATTCTTATGCATTGGCCAATGAAAGCTTGCATTTCTTCAGCTTTCAATGGGGACACAATAAACCTTGTGTGTGTGTGTTATGGCCTTCATCACGAATGCGTTCCTTTCTTGGTTGGCTGGAAAACCATACTTACCGAAACAGAGTATATTGCAACTTTCTTTTTTTATAATAGAAGTTTATGTGTCATTGGGACTGCTCGTTACAAAGGTTAATATCAAATTATCTCAATATAAAATTTCCGTGAGTCACTCAAACAAATACTGGATATTTTATTTCCGATCAAAGCTTGCTTATCGTGAAAGAAACGTACTACAATGCTGATTCATCTGATCGCGGATTGTCACTTGGATGATAATGTCTGCGGAAGAACCTATGCCTCTCTCTTACGGTTGTCAGCAGGAGAACGATCCTTCAACCTCTGCTCACCTCGATCTTCGAGAGGGTATAACGAGCTAGTCACAGGTGTATTAATCTTTGCTCACCTCGATCTTGGAGAGGGTTTAACGAGCTAGTCACAGGGTGTATTAATATCCGGTAGTGAGACCCATTCTTTCGAGTGCTTTTTTTTGTTTGGGTCACCTAATGCAAGTAACATGTCACCCTTGCCAATCATGATTTTGGGAAGACTTACACATCTGATTGCAGAGGGTATTAATCTCAGGCGACGTGGTCCAGTTCATCTTTTCGAATGCCTGGTACAAGGGACCATCCCCTGTTCATCCCAAAGAGGCTTCGGTCCTGACAAACAATGCTCTCGCAATTATCCTTCCCTGCCACCCTAAAAAAGATGAGCTCATCAATCGTCGACATAAAATGAACCTTTGGACTATGTGAAGGGCTCCCTAACGCACCATTGCTGCACTCTATTGGTCGCTCAGGTATAAAAGCCAACTCCAAAGCCTAAAAGAACAAGTATTTTTATTATTTTCACTTCTCAACTAACTTAACTAATGGAAGAATCAGGTTAAGAACATTCCCCAATGTCGACCACTTATGTAGGATCATCGACGAGGCTAAGGTGCATCTTAAGACAATACTAAATCTGCCTCCGACAAAAAGCAGCGCCTCGGATCGTATCAACCAAATTCGCTTTCCACTCTAATCTCACCCCTTGTAGGCCCTGAATTAGCTTGCACTTCCAGGACTGACCCAAATTGTGACTACTCCACGGTCTAACAGCATCCATGCAATAACAAAACACAAGATGGCACATCGATTCCACAAACAGAATCGGATCGCAGTTAAAGATCCGCATCCGAGGCTACGCTTCGGATTCAGATTCGAATTCGGGTTTTGGAGCCCCGCCCCGTTGCCGTTTTCTAGCGAATGGAACAGAGAGAGAGGAATAGGGAATCCGACCCGTTTAGCATTTCCAAGGGCCTCTTATACCGACGCTGCACACGCCGACGCTTCCATCGCTTCCCGTCCCCGTCTCCCTCTCCCTCGCGAGTCGGGCTTCTTAGGGTTTGGGTCCTTGGAACTACTTCTTCGGTGGCCTGATCTATTCCACTACGATAGCAATTTCCCCAGAGGACACGGTTAGGTTTTTCTTGCTCTATTGGGATTTCGATCTATTATGATCTCTGTTTTCGCATCTTTTGTGGAATTTCTGGTTAATTGCTTGACTTAGGGCCTCTCGTTTCGTCCGGATGATTCGTTGCTGACGATGATGATGAATAACGATGATAATTGTTTAGGGTTTGGGTTTTCTTGCGCTTGTGATTGTGGGTTCCGGGATCATTTAAGTCGGAATGAGTTAATTTGGGTTCGCGCTATATCTGTTGCACTGATTTTCCTGCAACTTGGTTCTGTTTGGTATAAAAGAGTCAATTTTGCACTCATCGGAGTTAACAACCACATCTTGTCTTTATTGACAAGTGTTTTGTCGTTTGATAACCAAGTGGGTCTTGGAACCGAGGAGCTGACGGGTTCTTTTGATGCTGCGAATTAGGCTTGTGATTGTTTTTTCTGTTAATAGAAGGCCTATCATCACAAGATGTGTGACGTTTGGCTTGTACTTGGATAGTTAATAGAATGGGTAATTCTAACCTGTACACATGCATTCATTATAGCAAGGTATAATAATTATTAATTTGTTGATTTTTTTTATTGTGCATTCCACGTCTCTCTTCTGTAGTTTTTTTTTTTTTATTTCACTTGCACCGACCTTCATTGATTTATGAACACTAGTAGAAAGGACTAATGCAATTATAATTTAATGCTAGCTTCTTTTTGTTTAAATAAAAATATTCTTACCAAACTATGGAGATAGCTACAGTTATGGTTGTTGTGCAGGACCCCTCAGCTAAACATGCGCTGTTGAATCTTTTACCAGTATAGTCCTATTTAACTCTTACTAACCTAAAGTGGGTAGTTTATAGCGAGGGATTCAACGCACACCTTACAATGTATGTGATCTAAGTTTACATGGAGGAAAAAGGGACCTCAGTCAATTGTCTTCAGTTGATACATCGTAATACTGACTCCACCGGACTCGATATGTCCAGTGTGCACATGTCTGTGTTGCATTGTCGTAGGATATATGGACTAGCTAACAGTTGTTTTGTTTCACAAAGACATTTGCATAGTCGCATGAAAAAGTTTGCCTTATGCTGTACCAAATTTGTTCATTTGCTTGTTGGTCCCACCCATTATTTGGTGTTTGAAGTTACAAATAATGTTGCATGATATTCTCCTTCCATGCATAAATGTGAGTTTATGGCATCACTGAAGTTCAGATGAATGGACGTTGACTGTTTTGATGAAAGTTTTGAGAAAGATGTAGTTGTTAAGATGTGTAAGCTCCTGCTGAAATCAGTTAGGTCTTTGTTGGAAATAAAAGCCTTGACAGAAGAAAGTTGATGATAGCCAACTTTTCGGTATTCTATGGTTGAAGCAGTCTTATTGGCATCAGTGATCAGATATACTGGATGGGCTTGTCCTGTGCGTGAGTGAAAATTGCATAGTAAAAGTTGAGAAAAAGACTGAACATCTAGGATAGCATATGTGGAAGATTGTTGGCATCGAGGAAGCTTGCTTAGTTAAGAAACGTGACTCTGATTTTGACGAAAATGTCAATTGAGCATAATTAACATAGCTGGTTAAAAGGTTCTGGTCACTTTTCTCGCTTTTGTCTGTATAATAATAAGCAATCATTATCATGCACAACTTCCATGATCTCCGTGTTAACCCAGTATATATATATGCATTACCTGAAAATGGTGCATTATCATCAATCGACATGCAGGAGTTTATAGTCATACCCTAGCAAGATCATTATCTTCTTCATCAGTAGTTTTCTTTATACAGGAAGAAGACTGCCATGACTTCAGAAACCTCTCTCGAAAGTGAGAAAAAGATTTCTCTGACCTTAGAGGATACACAGTCTAACATTAACTGGGATGATATAGTTTGCCCTATCTGTTTGGATGTTCCGCACAATGCAGTGCTACTTCACTGCGGTTCATATGATCAAGGGTGTAGAGCATTCATGTGCGACACTGATGATTATCACTCCAACTGTCTTGACCGATATAAATGTGCACATGGTTTGCCTACCATCACGACGGTCTCCTCAACTACAACCGGGACACCCACTCAAAGCATTCGAGTAATTCCTTTGGGTTCTGGTAGCAGCCCTACCTGCCCGTTGTGTCGAGGGAATGTGACAGGGTTGGTCGTAGTTGATGAGGTCCGTGCATACCTTAACATGATGAAGAGATGTTGCGAAGAGAAGCAATGTTTATATGTCGGCAACTACATGGAACTGCAACGGCATGCCAAACAAGAGCACCCTCATTCTCGGCCATCAAAAGTGGACCCAGATAGACAACAAGATTGGGAGAATTTTCAGCGCTCCTCAGAAATGATAGATGTCTTGAGTACTATTCACTCAGAAATGCCACATGGTGTTTTGTTTGGGGACTACATCATTGAGTATGGGGATGAGAGCAGTGATGAATTTGAGGATTTCCCTGGAGATGACGGCAATTGGTGGACCTCTTGTATTCTCTATCATGTCTTCGACAACTTCAGGTCAACGATAGATCGGCAGAGATTAAGAAATGAAGAGACAAGTAGAGTTCAAGCTAGATCATTCTATGATGCTCATATGGATGATGGTTCAACGTCATCTGCTGACATGCCAGAATACCATTTTGATGGAAGTGATGAGGAGTTTGGAGAAGCAGATGATGGAGCAGCATCCAGGGGAAGCCAGAGTCACCGCAGGTAGTTCAAAAATTCATCTCATCAGTGTTTCTCTATTTCAGACTTAAAATTTACTCTGACAGCAACATTCAGTTCCTTCTGCTTGTTCAGCTATTTTCAGACATGAATTTAGATTGCACATGAAGGGAACATATCATTACAAACAAACGAAGGGAACATATTGTTTTTCCTTGATTTTGATGACCAAGAAGAGCCGATCATTATCATTACAAACAAACGAAGGGAACATAAACCTCAATTGACATACTAGGGCTGCTTTTTGTGTGTTGCAAGATATTTAAAAGCAGAAATTAACTAGATCCCATTACTTGTAAGAGCTGCACGAATGCCTCGATGGTTTCTGCAAAATCTCAAACTGGCTTTTTGTTCATACAATTTTCTATCAGTTTATGGTAGATCTGCTTAAGGCCTTTTATTTTTTTCAGCATCTCGTCCATCTCTTGCAAAACCACTGACATGATTTGCAGATTCATAAATTTGTATCACAAGTTTCTATTGGTGTTTGGAAACTATTGGCTGTACCACGAGAAGAGGAGGGGGGGTGTGGTGTGGTGTGGTGTTGTTGTTGGCGTCTGATTGCCCGGGGGCTAATGTTTCTTCCACATCATCCTGCAGCTACAGGAGGCGCAGGTCTCGATTCCAAGAACACTAGCGTGTTACCGACCGCAGTCAGTGGGAGGTGCCTAACCTTCGTCTCTTTATGGTTGTTGGCCAAAAAGTTCCACATGACTCTGTGTTACCATTGTAAATGATTCCGTGCTGCTCGATGCTCCATGTTGCTGTTTGAAACAAAGCTTGGTTATATAACAATCCTATTAGTTCTTTCTGTTGCCTGCCAAGTGCCTAATTCCTGTAAGAAAGACTCTGGTCATTCGATGCTTTTTTATTTTTCTAGGTCACCGTTGTTCTCAAGTGTGCCAAAAAAGCTTGTTTCTTTTACAGTATCGGTGGCCTGATAATAATAATAATAATAGTTATTATTACAGGTTACGATCGTACGCGGGAATTAAAGACTGTAGAGAGTTGCACTGCCATCAAAAGTCAGATGGCAGTCATCCACTGAAGGGTGCAACAAAGGACGCTAGAAGTAGCCATCAATGCCTGACTGACTTCATTATAATTCCCCAACCTGCCAAGTACTCAGTGATGCTAATGATTCTTTCCTATCCATTCTCCTCGCCCTTAAAAAAAAGGCACGCCCTCGGCCTTGTTTGCTGACCGCGGCTCTCACCTTCGCAGAGCGACGATGGACCATTGCCCGGTACTTTGCGATCCAGAATGAAACTGTGCATGTACGGAGAGGCCACGATGAAGCTAAACACCACCGGCTTGTTTCCTCCACGGAACTACAACATGAACAGTAATCTCGTACTCGAATCTAGCTCATTCAACTGAGCTACTGATCATCGCAGTCTTCAAACGTTGTCGGAAGAATAAGGTTTTGCATCCCAACAAAACGAGAACGATGCGGCCAATAATTATCCATATATATATATATATATATTTGTGTGTAGGGCGTACGTTTGTCCTTTGAAATGTGTCAAAAGATTGGTTCCTTAGGTGCAGAAAAGAAAGAAATATAAAGCTACTGTTTACAGCTGCATTGATGATGATATCACAGTGAAACGTCAGCAAAAGGATGAGCACTAAAGTAAAAGAAACATGACGAGGGGAGCTTTTGAGTCTCACGCTGAACCACCGAATGCACCATGTCGGCTTTCGCATTCTCGTATTCTGCGTGTAGCAGCGGTGGCACCTTATGTTCCTGTTGCTGTTCCCCTCCATCATTCCGTTCCATGAAGAGGAGCATGCAAGGCTGCCACACCATGCTTTGCGTCCTGGTGGTAGTAGTAGGAGTCCGCTGCTGGTGTCCCGGTGGGCGCAGCACAAGGAAAATAAGCGCGACCATGCTCCTGATGCTGACTGCTACCACCCCTCGCTTGACCCACGCCGCTGCCAGCAGCAGCGAAGTCCACAGTACTGCCGGATCTGAACGATTCAAACACTGACGGCGGATGGCTCCGCTGGTGCTGCTGCTGCTGATCCAGGGCAAGCAGGGGCAGGAATTCTTGGTGTTGCACCAACGCCAAGGGTTGTGATCCGGGACAGTAGGACGCCGGCGACGGCGGCTCCGGAACCCTCGAGGCCTTGCTCGACGCCCCGCCCACCGGAAGGTCGCTGTTGAGGATGCGCTCCACGTCGTAGCGGCTCATGTCGAAGTTGGTCACCGCGTTGAGCCCCCGGAACTTGATCGCCGCTATGTCGTAGGCCTCTGCCGCTTCCTCCTGCGTGCCTGCACTCGTCCATGTCATCCATCTCCACATCATGTGGGAACGATCGCTTTGATGATCGCGCACTTACTAAAAGTTCCGAGATACAGGTCTTTGTTGCCTGCGACTCGCCCTATCCTCGCCTGCCATCGCCCGTGTTGATGGTGTCTTGCAATTGTTCGGATTCTAGCATTAGTTTTACAGGATGAACAAACCTAATCAACCTTCTTTCTCCAAATATGATGAATCTGACCAACCTGGTGACTCCTCTGTACATGGAGGCTCCTCTGGAGAAGCCACTACTCCTCCTGCTCGACAAAGCAAAGCCGAAGCCGTGTGTGACTTGAATCCCACACCAGCATGAGAACGTACGTACGTCTGCATGGCGTTGGTACGTACGTGCCCATGATTCATTGATTGCTACTACGACAGATATCTAGAAACAGAGACGGCCCAACCTTCTGAGTGCCGCAACGAACTCCTGTCGCGTCATGTTCTTCATCTCCTGCAACTCCTCCTCGTAGTCCGACACCTACATGTAAGTACGCATACATAAGGAATGGTGGTATGTAAGACAAAGATGGCCCCCATGATCACCTACCGGGAAGTTGGTGGTGGTGTTGGGACCCCAGTATTTGAGCGCCGCCAAGTCGTACGCCCTGGCCGCCTTCTCCTCCTTGTCATACCCTCCTACATGTTATTGTTACGAACAGATGAAATGATGATGTAATGTTAATTTGCTCTACCTATTTGGCCCTGATGGGGACGAGAAGAACTCACCGAGGTAGACTGTGGCATGCAGAAAAAGACAGTCCATCTTCCAGTGAAAACATGCCACGTGCGAGAAAAGAAAATAGAGAGAGAGAGAGAGAGAGAGAGTGAGTGAAGAAGAGATTTATGGCAAAATAGAATGCAGAAAATTTAGGCGGCGGCGAGAGCTCAGGCGCACCTTGACGGCCTTTCCGGCTTTGACCTTCCCGGCGGCAGCTGTTGTCCCACAGGTGAGCTTCGTACCTCCCCGTCCACCTATGCCTTACCCAAAATGCCTCCATGTTAACCAAAAATACGCTTCCGAGTTGCGGCTGCTCACATCCATGCAAGCCAAGCATCCAGCTTGCATGATTTCGGAGCCATGCTAAATGGCACTACGCTATTGGCATTGCAGTACCTCGTGACGCCACGGTAGATGGACGTCCTTTGGCCCAACGTGTCCATCACCTTCTTCGGGTCCGCCACGGCTAAGGAGGTGGACTCTGGCTGCTCTGCTGGAGAAGCCCGTAGGATTCCAGCGGCGATGCTCCTCAAGTCCGAGTCATAACCGCCATCAAATTGTTCTCCAAGTGGATGATCTCCGGGGCTGCTGAGGAACTCCTCCAGCTTCGGCGCCTCCGCCGCCACAGTCTTCATGTCCACACAGTCGTTGCCACCCTCGTCTCCACCTGAATCCGAGACGAGTTCAACACAAAACGAAAATAACAGCTTAGATCAGCAAGCCCGCAAAGTTTCGTACTAGCAATCACAAGAAACAGTGAAAGAAAGAGAGAAGCAGGGTGTTGGGATAAGAGACCATGGAGAGCAGAGGCAGAGAAAGCTTGGAAGAGAGCAGGGTGTTGGGAGAGGGAGAAGGCGAGCCAGGGGTGAGAAGTGTCCATTCTTCGTTATGAGGAAAGCGCAGTGCCTATTCACGGTTCAGATATAAAGAAAAAGAAGGGACTCGGAGAAACACAGATTCAAAAGGAGCAATACGGAAGGAAGACCGAAAAGGAGAGAGAAACAGAGTGAGGGGGAACACGAAGCACGAGGTTCCTTTAATATACCATGCTACGCTGGTGATGTAATCTTGACATAAAAATAGGGAGGATCGAGTATGAGTGGGATAAGGGTGGGGCAAGTGGAGGCTTTTCACGCGCCGTAAGGGCGGCGTTCTTGACCGAACGGAAGAAGCGGAGGAATCAGAGGATGTGATGTTCCTTCAGAGATCTCTTATGTCGTTCAGCTTCGTTGCAGACGGCCACAGTGTGATGACAGGTTGGGGATTGCAATCATGGAAGCAGGATAGCGTTCGGAGATCGGTGGGGGGAAGGTAACGATGCGTTGTATGGAGTCGGGGGAGCATGTGGAGAGGTATGGCGACACGAGCGGCCATGCTGAGTGGAGTAAACAAGAGGGAAATGCCTGACACGTGACAGAGGATCAGGATATAGATAAATAGGGAATCATAATTATATATATATTTTATTTCCTTAATTAATTTATTATTTGATATATAATTGAAATTTTTTCTCAAATATCTATAAATATATATTACCTAGATGACTAAAATCATCAAACTTTTACGGTAATTCTTGATGAAGTTTTCTTGATTTTTTTTTTACAAGTAAGAGTAATTGTATTAAGTATAAAGTATGTATAGACTAAAGCCAAAAACATCTTAAAAGCAATCTAGGAGGGTGCACCCTGGGAGGTGGAATAATCTCACTCCATCAAACTTATTTCCAAGAATAGTAAAATAAAAATTAATTTCATTGAAAATGAATACATCACATTATTGAAATGTTTAACCACAAAATAGATTCCATTGTTCATCATCATTCATGATATTATTAACTAATGGTAAAATTGAATCTTCCTCTCTACTTGTTAAGTACTCAATTTTCAAATCTTGCTCTGTACATGATCTTAAGTCTAAGAATCTCAAATTGAGCATTGTTTTTGTTATGATACTCAAAGATTCTACTACACATCTCCTTGATATAAGTTTGACTACAGTAGCTTATTGAGTTCAAATCTCATTACAATCTTCTTTCATATCTAATTAATATAATCACAAGCAAAATAGAGATGATTAGTACTTTCTTCCTTTTACATAAAAAGAGAGCATCAGTTTATAAGATAAATACCTCTTCTCTTCGTATTGTCTATTGTATATAGTTTGTCAAGAAGAGTCTATCATATACATAAGGAATGTCTCTATAAGCTCGATCTATCCTATGTCCAACGACTTAGTATTCATTTATTATTCCTTTGCCTAATTTGGTTCGATGCAAACGCAGTACTAAATTTATCATTGTCATGAAGTCAAATGATCATATCTAAAAAGTTATTTCTGATTGGAATAGTTTTAATGATTAGCCAAAGTGATAATATTTCAAGGGAAGTGAGATTGGGAAGACACCATGTGCCATTAGCAGTGAATTTAGAAACCTTCCAATCTTTGGAAGCCCTTAAATCTTATTGTACTATATCATCAAATAATAGAAATATGCTTTTCCCATTCACCAAAGGGTCATACCACATATTAGTGCTAGGCCAAAAGAGATTACATAAAAAATATTATTGATTAGCCAATTCCTTACTTTTAGAATTCCTTTCCAAACAACAGAATGAAATATTTTTACTGAAGCTACCCAAATTGATTCTTGTGATAGATACCTAGCATAAACCCATTTTGACTATAAGGAATATTTGTTTTATAAAATATCCCACTATTATTTTACCAAACAAGCTTTATTCCAATCTCTAATATTTTTTAGATTCAACTCTCCTTCATTTTTCAGTTTGTAAATGTTATCTTAATTTACCATATACTTTGCCTTACCATTTGTGTCATTCCAAAAGAGGTTCATAAGTAGTTTTTCAGTATCATGAAGAAGCCCAACAAACAAAAAATTAAATTAAATTAATAAATATAGTAAAGAGTTCAACAAGGATAGGATGAGCTCAAGTCGTGCTACTTTAGAAAGAAGTATATTTTTTTAAGAGAAAAATTTATTCTTTATTTTCTACTGGATAAGCTAACAGTAGGTTTTGTTGATGCTAGTAGATATGAGTGGAAGACCTAGATAAGGAACTGGTAAACTTCCCTCACTAACCCCTAAAGTTTGAGCAATATAATCCTTTCCTTCAATGCAAGCACCCACATAGACTTTGTTTTTTGCATAATTTATTTTAAGGCCAGAAGTTATACCAAAATCTTTAAAAATAACAGTCAGATTCCTCACAAAAGTAGGATCAATATGAAGGAAGATAATAAGGTCATCAACAAAAGTTATATGAGATATATGAACGGAACCATGGGGTATCTTAATGTTGTCATTAAAGACTGTTTCTTCTAATATACAGCTAAGTCCTTCTATTGTAATTGTAAAGAGATAAGGAGATAGTGGATCTCCTTGTCGGATGTCATTCTTGCTTAAAAAAAAACTAATGGGTGAACCGTTGAAGAGAATAAAAATTTTTGGAGCATCCAAGCAACATTAAATCCATTGTTAAGGGAAGCTGAGCATCTTGTAGATAAAGTGTCTATTAATTGAATCAAAGGTTTTTCTTAAATCAACTTTAAAATAGATTTTATTTCCTCTTGTTTTTTAGTGTATATCTTTTCACCAAGTCATTAGCAAGAAGAATATTATGCTATATACTTTTTAGTCATAGGTGCCCTACAAGCCAATCACGTGAGTGATGACACGTATGATATGATATACATTCTTTTTATTATTATTATATTATTTTATATTTTATCACTTTATATTACTTATTGCATGA